GGGATGTACAAATCAAAAACAAGCATCCTGGGCATTAGAATGATAAGGGGAAAAAAGGCACCAGAATTACCTTGATGGGAAAATGTTTGTTTTATTGAGAATAGGAGAGGGAAGGCTAATGTTGACTTATGGCCTCCTAGTTCTCTTCCATGCTAGCATTTGAAGCCACTTTTCCTAAACTATCGACCACCTCCTAGGTGATTACTCTATACCTTATATTCCACGTTAGCATTTCTAAAAGTTTTATATGAATTGAGTAGCCTGTGGAAAGAAAGGATTCATGACTGCATATATTTGTAAAATTGTTACCTTACAATTAATTCCCCTCATGTACAGGTTATAAGGTCATGGGTACAACAACTGCACACTCACACAAACAAACACACATTGAGTAATGTTGCAGTAAAGAAACCCATTTAATGTTACATTTATCAAACATATGAATTAAGGAATAATTTTATTTTATTTTCAAACTATTTTATTTATTTACTTTTAGAGAGGGGAAGGGCAGGAGAAAGAGAGGGAGAGAAGCATCACTGTATGGTAGCCTCTCACACAGCCCCTGCTGGGGACCTGGCCGGCAACCCAGGCATGTGCTCTAGACTGGGAATTGCCGTTGCTCAATTCACTGAGCCACACCAGCCAGGGCAATGAATGAAGAAATCATTTTACACAGTGTAATTAACATTAGACAGAACTAGTAGCATAGTTCCCCACTATGTAAAGAAAATTTGAATGAGGTTATATTATGATGAGCTCAAAAAAGGATTTTTTTTTATTTTTTTATTATTGTAATTTTTCATTACCATTTATCCCCCTTTCTACCTCCACTCATCTCCCCTCCAACAATCACCACACTGTTATCCATGTCCATGAGTCCTTTTTTCTTTTTTTGCTCAATCCCAGAAATGTTGTTTAAACCTGCTGACACAATATTTATGAAAAACTGATCCATAGATATCCTGGTGTTTGATAAGATGTAGGTCTTCATCTCAGATCCACTTACTCAAATTTGTAGGGTCTAGAAATGTGCATTTTAAAAGTTTTCCACATGACTTTCATGCACTCCGAAATCAGAAACTACTATCCCATAGGATTGGGGTCAAATCATAAGATTGCTTGTAACCCATTGATAGCACTGAAAATTGTTCTAGGTTAATATCTGCAGTCTGGTGTTTATCTTTATTTGAGGCCATTTGTGCCTGTACAAAGATTCCAGTGAAGTCAACCATCTGTTCCAGAAACCCCTTGGGTGGTCTTTACCTAGGAAAGCATTGACTAATCTGTGATCCTTACTTTCCTAGAAATAGTAATTGCTGTCTTATAGGGTTGTTTTAGTGATTCCGTAAAATAATTGTTGTGATTGTAAGCACTAAATCTAGGGTTGGGCTCTGGACATGGCAAACACTGAAATCCTATGCCGACAGAGTCCCAGGACCACATGTTCCCAGAACTGTGACACATGCAGGCAAACCTCACGAGAAGCTGGTATGTACTAGAACTCCAATTTACATATTTATATTGAAAGCTGTGATTTACAGAAGGCCCAATATTTCCAGCCGATTGATAAACATGTTTCCATGTTTTAAGTAAGCTTCATCAGGTTGCAAAATATTAGACAGCTGTCAGTTAAACATCAAATCAAGACAAGATAGTTCCATGATTTCTAGATTTAATGCCACTACTTCCTGAAAGACTGACTGATCTAAACTTAAACTAGGGAGTGAACTCACACATATTTTGTGTCCAAACAGGGTATCCTTTTACTTCAAGTGCTTTGAATTTGGGCAGGCAGTTTTTAGAAATATGTCCATAACTCTAGCATGCACTATGATATTTGGAATAAAAAATGAAGAACATTTTCTTAAAAAAATTTAGAAACCAAAGCCTTATTGATAGCCTATAATTAGATTATAAGTACACATGTGCTCAAAATATGTCTGTATTTAGAAGGTCATTTTGAAGTGGTCAACAGATACTATTCCTAGTACTTGTAAGTAATAGTTATCTTCTTAAGTAATATAACATTTCTGACATTTTGAAATAGTAACAGTTAAACCACTTCTCTGTCAGGATATTGGGAGAAATTGAGGCAAACAATAAGCCTTTCTCTTCTGATGTAAATGTCTTTGCGGAAGGAGTACTATGAAAGGTAGAGACCAGGGTCATCCACAGCCTGGGCTGCTAGGGGTGGTATTATATTTACTTAATAGGTTGTCATTTTGAGACCCAAACCTAATCTTCAGAATTACCCCATAAGCAGCCCCATGTTGGTTAGGAGGAAAACGTCAGTCAATGAGTACTGGCCCAGCAGAGTGTCTGGTCCTGAATTATCTAAAATGATAGTCACTAGACACACATGACTATCTAAATCCAAATTTATTAAAATAAAATAAAATAAAATTATGACTTTCTTAGTCATAATATCCACATTTCAAATTCTCAATAGCTTCTAGTTACTGAGTGTTCAGTAGCATAAAAGAGATCATTTCTATCATCACACAATGATGAGTGCTGGCTTCGTCTAATTAGTATTGATTCATTAAAGCTAACACTTATATCACAATGTTATAGGCTTCATCCATTCCTTAGGAGAAATATTCAGACCCACAGTGATTATCCCCTCTGACATCAGAAGTAAAGAAATGCAGGGTGTGCATTTAATGCCATCTCTATCTCTTCTTCATTTCTATCATGTGATGTTGCACTGGAGAAATTGACTTCATTTTTAAGTATCTGATATTAAAGAGGTCTTAATTCAGTTCTTCAGCTACAATTAGCTTTAGTATTTGATTTCATTATTTATGACTTGGTTTCTTACCAACTTCCTCTTTTTCAATACATTCTTCCTTTAGAAATTCTAGCTTTACTGCAGATATAGTCTATCCTGGTATAGACACTATGCGTATCTTCAAGGTACTCCATTAAGGCCTAATAGATGTTAACTTTCAAAGAGCAGTATTTTTCTTTTTATTTCAAAGTTGTTTAACTTCTCATAAAAATACTTGCTAACTATATAATATGTAAAAACTCATTTAACATTCACACATACAGTTCTCTTATTTGTAAAATGGAAATAGGTCATTTTAAACATTTTAATATTGCTCTCCATAGATCTGAATTAGCAGAGAGAAGGCCTAGGCTCTTGGCTGAATTCTACCAAAGGTAGGTGACTCTGGTTAGAATGTTATAAAAAGATAAGGTAAAATCTCATAGACAAAGAAAAAATATCATCTTCTGTATACTTTTCTTATTACAAAGATTATTTATTTTAATCTTTATTGTGTTTTCCACATTACCTGTTAGTTCCCTTATGCGCTCCTCCCCACCACAATCACCATGCTGTTGTCCATGTCCATGAATCCTTTTTCTTTTTTGCTCTACCCGTCCCCACTAGCTGTCATCTTGCTCTCCATCTTTGAGTGTGTCCACATTTTCCTTGTTGTTTCAATTTGTTCATTAGATTCCACATATGAATTAAATCATATCTTTTTTTGTCTCTCTCTAACTGTCTTATTTCACTTAGTTAATGTTCTCCAACTCCATCCATACTGCCACAAAGGACCAAATTTTCTTCTTCTTTCTTTTTTCCTGCCAAGTAGTATTTTATTTTGTAAATTTCCAGTAGTTATTTTATCCAATCATCTATTGGCCACTTGGGCTGCTTCTATATCTTGGCAATGGTAAGTAATACTGGAATGAACATAGTGGTACTTATGTTCTTTCATATTAATGGTATGGGTTCCATAGGATATATTCCCAGAAGTGGGATTGCTGAATCAAAAGGCAGATCCATTTTTAATTTGTTGAGGTATTTCCATACTGCTTTCCACAGTGACTGTACCAGTTTGCATTCCCACCAATGGTGCAAAGCATTCCCCTTTCTCCACATGCTCATCAGCCCTTGTTTTTCATTGATTTATTGATGATGGCCATTCTGACAGATGTGAGATTGTATCTCATTGTGGTTTTAATTTTCATTTCTCTCATGATTAGTGTCATTGAGCATCTTTTCATACATCCATTGGCAATCTCTATGTCCTCTTTGGAGAAGCATCTGCTCGGGTTTGGTGGCTTTTTTTGTTTGTTTGTTTTGTTTTTTGTGTGTGTTGAGTTTTGTAAGTACTTTGTAAATTTTAGATATTAATCTTTTATCAGATGTATTGGTGGATATGTTCTCCCATTATGTGGGTTGTCTTTTTATTTTGTTCATGATTTCCTTTGCTGTGTAAAAATGTTTTGGTTTAATGTAGTTCTATTTATTTATTTATTCATTTTGTTTTCCTTGCCTGGGGAGATATATCCAATAAAAAATTTCTACTAGCAAAGTCTGTGATTTTGTTGCTATGTTTTCTTCTATGATTTTTATGGTTTTGGGTCTAACATTTAAGTGTCTGATCCATTTTCAACTTATTCTTGTGTGTGATATAAGCATGTCGTTTAGTTTTATTTTTCTGCATGTATTTGTCCAATTTTCCCAACACCTATATTGAGTAAATTATCTTTGGCCCATTGTATGTACTTGCTTCCCCTGTTGAATATTAATTCACTGTAAAGTTGTAGGTTTATTTATGGGCTCTTTATTCTGTTCCATTGATCAATGTGTCTGTTTTAATGCCAGTAACATGCTGTTTTGATTACTATGGCCTTAGACTAGAGCTTGAAATTAAGTAGTATGATTCCTACAACTTTGATATTTCTCACAATCATTGTTGCTATGCAGGTCCTTTCCTGTTTCCATATAAATTTTTGAAATATTTGTTTTAGTTCTGTGAGATATACCATTTAAGTCTTGATAGGAATTGCATTGAATTGATCGCTTTGGGTAATATGGACATTTTAATGATGTTAATTCTTCCTCTCTATGAACAGGGTATGTGCTTCCACTTATTTGTAACTTCTTCAATTTCTTTATTTAGTGTATTTTAATTTTCCAAGTACAGGTCTGTTTTTTACATCCTTGGTTAGATTTATTCCTAGGTATTTTATTCTTTTCACCTCTATGTCCCCCTGTTCACAGTACAGGCCAGATAAAGGGTCCAGGCTGAGGTATGTATTAGGTGTGTTTACTTTGCCTCCTCTTTATGTACAGTAAGTATAAGAACACAGCCTCCCAGTGCTTACAAAGATGATTTAGGTGGTATTTGAAAAAAAAAGTTGGAGGTAGCTCTCTATGTTAGAAGACACTAGAGAATGTGACGTAGCCAAATGATATATAAGTTTCTGCCAGGCACTTTTGAAAAAAAAATATATAAAGACATTGATGACAAAGTATGGATCATATATGATTCCAGTGCTGCTCTTTGGGCTCATGGGAAAAGGCTACTCTTTGCCAATAATTTCACTTTCCAATAAACAGCTGACATATTTGTAGACACATTGCCACTCACCAGTAACATTTTTTTTGTCCCACTTCTAATAGTTTTCAATAAATATATTGTCAATAAACAATGAAAATCTCACTAGTTTTCCTTACTGAGTCTCCAGGAATTGCTGAGAGCTCACTAAATTTAGAGGGTGCACACTGAGATCATATTACCAGGAGAGAGCTGACATCCTCTCACAATCACCAAAGAGATTTTGTGTGCTTCTCTAGAGTCACCTTCTCTTTAGACTCACTTTCTCATGCAGAACTACCGCATTTATTTTTCTTAAAGCACAAGATTATAATAAGAGTAATGTGTTGACATTCTTCCTTCCACTGCAATATTTATAGTTGACATTGATCAAATACATAGTTGGGGTTTGCTTGTCTAATTTTATGATGCTCTTGCTAACCAAAAACACTCTTGCTCACTGGGCCTCACAGAAGGAGCACTTCACACCATGTGAATGGTGACAGTTGGCACCAGCTGCTCTTCTCAGGCACTCTTGCCTTTCAAATAGAGAGCTAACTGGTGTGAACAACATTGGACAGTTTTCAAGATGAGGAAGAAGTGAAGGGCTTTTATTCCCAAATCTTGGACAGCAGTCAACAGAGTTTCAAATGTGCAAAAATATTAAAGATCCTCAAGGTCATTCCATATCTTGGGGCAGTACTGTGTCCACCTCCAAGAACTGTGTTGCATTTCATAAGTTCCATGTGTAATTCATACCCAGCTACAAAGAGCAAATGCTGTGAAGGTTTAAATTATTCAACAAAAAATTGCAAAAAAATTCTCTCAAATGAATACATCGAAAATTTTCTTGGGACAAGAGGCAAAATGCAGATGCAAAGTAGGTATCAGACATGATCGGGAGCAAAATGAAATATAGAAAGACAATGTCAGAGTAAATAAAGAAGATAATTGTGGACATCATCAGCAGTCAGGAGATTTCACAGAATTGGTAGAATTCAAACTGGTCTTTGAAAGATGAGCAGAATTTGAACAAAAAAAAAAAAAAAAAAGAACTGGGACGTGAAGCAGCAGCAAGTGCCTGAAGGCTGCAATGAATGAGACTGGCTACTATAGGACATGTTGTAGTCCATTTGGGAAATAAGTTTCCACTCTTATTCTCATTTCTGTTTGCTACTAAAATGCAGCTCAGATGTAGCTTCATGCCCCTCAGTGTCATGATGCCATGAGCTTATTTGTGAACAATGTCTGGTTTCTTGCCTGATTCACTTGCTCTTGAGCTTCTTGAAGACAGATGGAAAAAAATTATATATGTGTGTGTATATATATATATATATATATATATATAAAACATATAATATAGAGTATATATTATATTAAATATATAATAATATTTTATATTATCTATGAATAATAATATTATTAATTATAATGAATTATAATATTATATATTGAATATATAATATATATTAAATAATATATAATTAATTATATATTCATAGACACTATAAAATATTATATATATTTTGGGAAAATGTAGGAAATTTGGTTTTTAGTTAAAATCCCAGTTAGAAAGCCTCTTACAACTAAATTAAGTAGAAAAAAATATATATATATATAAACATAGCAGGCAATCAGAAAATGCATATATGATAAATTAATGTAGTAGGAGACAAAGGTGGATAATACAAGTGGATAGGAAGGAAGTGGCAAGGTCATAGGGGACCTCAAAAGGCAAGCTGGGGGATTTGGATCCTTGCATTTAATGCCTCAGGCTCCATCATGTGCTGGAGAACATGTGAAATGCATTTAGAGAATCTGAATTTCACCATAAGTAGAGTTGCAATAAAATATATATTTTAGGAAGTGGGAAAGAGATATGAGGCAAATTGTCAACTACAAGAGAAGTTCTCAGTTATTTTATTTCCCTGTCTAAAAAATGGTTTTATATTTAGAGTAATTCTATCAAGAGAAGTAGTGTTATGAATTCACTGTGATGTGGAGGATAAAGTGGTTGCAAGTGAAAATTTTAATGTAGTCAAGAGCTCATCCTTGGGGCCTTTTCTTATGGGTCTCTACAGGACTCTGCAAATGTGAGTTCAAAGAAAATTCAGCATGGAACCCCAGGCTTTTAGAGTCATGGGTATATACCTTGTTCTTGGTCAAAGCCTGGTTTTCCTCTACCTCTCAGATATCTCAGATGTTGAGGAATTATTTCATATCCATGGAAGTAACAGTAATTCAGTAATTTGTATTATTCTCTTTACTATTTTCTTGAATCCCTGCCAATCATATGTTCTCATTTCCCCCATGTGTGTCTTCTCACATAAACCCTAAGTTTGCAGCTGCTTAACATATGTGTAATAATTAGAATGACCTATAACATGCACATTTCTCCTATCACTTTCCAGGTCTGCAAATTCACCAAACTGCCAGCTCCAATATCATTCCCAGTTTTACGTTGGTGTTTACTTTGGTTAGGCAGACATGGACTTTTTTTCTTCTATTTTCTAAGTATAGCTGTAGCATATATGCATATAATATTAGGAATGCATTACTAGGAATAAATCCTTTATCCATTGAAACCAGGGTAATAGGTGGGGGGATTAAGAAAAATCCCCAGCACACTCGTGTTTTGGGAAAATGTAGGAAATTTGGTTTTAGTTAAAATCCCAGTTAGAAAGCCTCTTACCACTAAAGTAAGCAGAATTTTTCCTTCTTATCCCCTGCACCCTCACAGCACGCAGTGATTTCAGCAGGGGACACAGCGACAAGAGGTTGAGATCAGAATCAGCAGCCAGAAGTGTAGGAAGCACTGAAAATTCCAATCTTCTGGGACATTCACTGATCAAAACTGCACTGACCACAGAACCCTTATGTTTGCAGAGAATGAGGTCACATCTCCCTTTCTTAGCATACTGCTCTAACTCCAGATAAGCCAGCCTTTCTCTCAGATTGTCTTCTAGTACCCTGTTTATTTTCTTCATGGCAATATTTGAGAATTTATATGTTTACTTCCATCATTATTTGGCCAAAATCTATGTCTCTGAACTCAGCTTTCTGAAATCTGAGATAGTCTACTGTGTTCAGCACTCAACTATACCCTCAGATCCTACCGGGCACCTAACACACAGTGATGGTCCAAATACAAAAAACAGATGAATGAATAAATAAAGGGACAAAAGAATAAATTAATGAATGGCCCATAATAGTAAAAGGCAGCTATTGGATCCAAGAACATGAGAAAGATCAAAGCCTGGAAAAATCAGCAACTCTCTATCTTGCTCTCTCCTCGGCCCAGGACAAAAAAATGCACCGGCCCTCAGAAAAGAGCTATTTAGTGAGTGGTTGAGTCACATGAAGACTAGCAGAGCTCAGGCTATCTGTCAGCAAGAGGAAAAGTAGGGACACCAGGAGCACTGGATAAATCATATCATGTGTGCTTTATGAGTGAGTATGTAAACACCTATATGCACACACACATGCTGACATGGAGACATATAAGTTTCATTTCAGAGTATGATCTTCTGTAATTCTCAATAAAATTATTTGGTTTAATCTATAAACCTCGAGTTGTGTTAAGAACTACATCTGGGATGATAATGATTATTTTATTTAAATCAGGAATAAACCCCTAACTAATGATTATAGTAAAAATAATGTTTTTCACTATTCATTCATCTATTAATGGTCACTTGAGTAGCTCTCTTATCTTGGTTATTGTAAATAATTCTGTAACAAATATAGAGATGCATATATCTTTTCAAATTAGTCTTTTAAATTTCTTCAGATAAGCACTCAGAAGTGAAATTGCTGGATCTTTCTTTGTTTCATGTTATAGCCTTTGTTTTAAAGTCTGTTTTGTCTGGTATAAATATTGCTATATTCATATTTTTTTGTTTATATATTTCCATGTTTATGAAATATCTTTTTCCAAGCCTTTACTTTTGGTTGGTGTGTCTTTGGGTCTAAAGTGAGTCTCTTAAAGGCAACATATGTAAGTTTCTTGTTTTCTTAACCATTCAGCTGCTGTGTGTCTTTTGATTGGAAAAGTCAGACAGAGAAAGACAAATACCATATAATCTCACTTATATGTGAAATCTAAATAATAAAATAAACAAACAAAATGGAAATAGATTCATAGATACAAAGAACATTTTGAGTTGCCAGAGGGGAGGTGTGTTGGGGAACTGAGTGAAAAATGTGAAGGAATTAAGTAGTACAAATTGGTAGTTACAGTATACTAATGGGGATGTAAAGTACAATATAAGGAATATAATCAATAATATTGCAATAACTATTCCAGTGCCAGAGAGGGATAGATTTATCATAGTGATCACTTTGGTTCACAGACCAGCGCTCAATCCACTGAGCCACGCCAGCCAGGGCATAGTGATCACTTTGTAACTTATATAAATATCTACTCACTGAGTTGTACACAAACTAATATAATACTGTATATCTAACTGCAATTGAAAAACCTTAATATTCTAAAAATATTTTTTAGCATGGGTAAAAGCAAGAAGGAAGGTGATGATAACATCATTCAAAGTAAAGTTAATGGTGTTCTGGATGCACAAGTTTCAAAACTCAAGTTTTATATGTTAAAGTGGTCTCACATAGCCGTCTACCCTAAGTCTGTTGGTCTCCCTTGGTGTTTTCCAGGTTTTGAGACATCCACTGCTTTGTCCCCAGCATATCCTGGTTTTAGGAGAGAAAGGCCCCGCAGTTGGCTTCGTATATCATGTTGAAATGATCTTTTTAAGATGAAGTTAAAACTCAAGGGAAAACTTCAAA